GTTAATTAACGTTAATTAACGTTAACGTTAATTAATGAACGAACACGGAAAGTATACTTTAGCCTTAAGCTGTTGAAGCTACTTTAATATGGCACGTGCAAAAAAGCTGAAATTCTTGCTTCGAATCTTTTAAATTTATTCACAAAATCTGAGACTATTACTGAAAATGATTTGAATAATAAAAACAACCCCGGATTATCTATTACTCGGATGCTGGTCGCTTCTTGCTAATTTCTGCTAGGGATTTCGACTTTAAATAAAATGGTAAGAACATTTTTGAGCGATAAGATGAAGAACCTCAATTTGACCCTACCTAATACATTGCCTTTGTGATATTTGTGTCTTGAATAGGTTTGTTTGATTTCTATTTAACTATTATCGAAATACGGACAATTGTTCATGACAAAAACGTCCAATTTAGATCAATCAAATGATTTGATTCCTTTTTAATGAATAACAACAATAAACTATCACGCCAATGAATGTTCCTTTAAGATTTATCAATATAGACAATATATTCACATATCTACATTGAAATCTTTTTGTTCAACCTTATCGTTATTGGTTTTATTAAATTATTGACGCCTATAGAAAGTCAGCTATAGAAGGGAAACTGATTTCAGGATACATTTTCTTCAAAAGGTTCGATAAATAATTTATCTCTGTATGCAAAAAGATATTTATTTTATTTCAAGAACAATATACATAACAAGATTCATAAATATTGTATTAAGAATAAGAAAGTCTGAATGCAAAAATGACGAATATAGCTTTCACCTTTAGGGTTTTTGTTATTAAAATACAAAATTTTCATTTTTCACCTTGCATCAACATTACATATTGTCCTATGACCTTAGAAGCACTGGAAATTGTTCCGCGCGATGATCCAGATGATGAACTTGAGCCAGCTTTAAAGGGAAGTTTGGTGTTCTGTTGCCGCAGTTCTATAAGGATTGTCTCCTCAGGTGTTGCTGGTCTCGCTAGTGGCCAAATAAAACTCTGTTATGCATTAAAAAAAATGGGGGAATTTAATTATGAATTTTTATTTATTTCTTTATATGTACGAAAAACGTGCAGTTAATTTCAATTTGCCTCTAAAAACATTTCATTATTATAATATTTCATTTGTAAGTAATTGCATGCAGACGCAAGGAATATGAAAAATGTTTAGAAATGTTGATTGATTTTTCACGAAAATTCAAAGAGAATACATAAAAGAGTTCCCTGTGATACTCTCATTTATTTAAACATTATATTCAAAATGCAGAATTCTCATTTCTCGCTTTACGTGATGAATAACATGAAATTATCATGAGCGATGAGTGAGGGATGGAATAAAAATCCGTTTTTATGATGTCACTTTGAAATTTGTTTCAATTTTCATTATTAACTCACTAAAGTGACAGGATAAATGTTGAAAAAATGAAGAAGGATGAGAAATTGAACATAAATGATAGAAACAAGTGTAATTGCTTTTTAGTTGATAACATTCATAAAAAATTAATAATACAAATGTTTGATTCATTTTTCTTACCTGATTCACTTCAAATATTTCTGAAGATCCATTTGATTCTGCAGTAGTATGGGCCACACCTGATAACAGAAAATAAATAAATATTTGATGTACACGCTTATACTTATTAGATTACTTAGTTGTATGAGAGATAAGGATAGATGGAAGAAAAAAATTCTTGAACCTTTTTAGAACATATTTTATCATTGTCAGAGAAATGACGCAACTCGGAAAAATGTGAACTTTTTAAAGCTGTAAAAAACCACAACAAACGCTGAATTTTCTGGAAACCAAAAGTGAGTACATCTCACTAGTAGATTTATTTATCAGGCTTGTATTCTTTAGCTCGAAGTCAGAGTTTTTGATATTATTTTTTAATTTCAGAACCAGCAACTTTGGGTTTGACTTTCACAAAGTAAACAACCGAAGTTTTATTTTCGTTTCACAAACGCTTTCATTGATGTTTGTACAATAAAAATAAGAGTTGAGATGAGCCGCAAAAACATTTGAAGGTGAACAAAAGCAACAAGCTTTATTTTGATACAATCAAAAGACTTTAAATTTCTTTTTGATGGTTAAAATTTATGTTTAATACGTGAAATTTTTTACAATCTACCTTTGAATGGAAAAAAGTTCCAACATTTAAAGTTTGCATCAATAATTTGATGCAAATTGGAACTTTGTTCCCTAAACAAATTATTTGTAAATTACCATGCCCAGTGAGCCGATTGTCAAGTTAGTGGTGATAAGAAAAATGCCTACTTTAGTAATCATCGTGATAGATTATTTAGAAGTCATGAACTGTAATATCTACATTGACACGCAGGTCGTTTTATGTCTAATTTTCTTGTATTTTGACTGATAAAATTTTAGAACGATGCGCAATTTGTGGAAATATTTTTATTTTCAAAAATTTCCTAATTCAATAATCTAATAAGATCTTATTTAATAAACATCTTAAAATATACAAGCAAAAATGTTTGACATTAGATATGGCTCGATTGATTATCGTATGGAATTTTTTGTTGGATTTTAGCCTAAGTCAATTTACATGTTTTTTTTGGATTCTTAATTTTCATTTATGAACATTTTCGCAGAAACAGCTCAAAAAAAGAGAATCGTCTCTTGTAATTTTCATGTATATAAATACAAAACACGAAAGCATGCTGAAGTTAAAAATAAATGTTTTCACGTTGAGCATTTTCTCAGAACGCTCATTATTTCTTTAGTGTTGTCTATTCATCCATCGGCTTCAAATGTTTTTCTCTTTATAAAATTCAGTATAGAATTTAAAAACTGGTTAGATAATCATCATGGTATCATCAAGTCAAGAAATTACTGGAAAATGTTTTGTCTGTGACAAAGTGTCAAAGTCACGTTGTTCCAGTTGTGTCCAAGTTTTTTATTGCTCTGTTGAACATCAAAAGAAGGATTGGAAAAGTCACAAAGCAATTTGCACACCAATGCGTGTTTGTAATAATGACAAAATAGGAAGGCATTATGTTGCCACTAGAGACATAAAACCAGGCGAAATTGTTCTCAGAGAATCTCCCTTAATTGTTGGACCATCACAATCAACCGCTCCAGTTTGTGTTGGATGTTTGAAGGTATATAAATATAAACACATGTAGTGAAAGTACGAGCCTGTTAAGCTGAATAAATATAAGCAGTATAGTAAAAGTGAAATATTTTTAGCTTGACCTAGAATTTAACCCGATAGGGTTAAGTGAAAATGTTTTGAAAATTACATATCACGAACTCGTCTTGTTAACTTTTCATGTATGCTTGCAAGTCGCGACATACGGCATGAACCCGAGAAAAGTTTGGCATTTTGCCAAGCGGAATTTCAAACGACGCACATTTTTCCTATCTATTTAGAAATCTAAATGAACTCAGACTTACTTACACACATATCTAATTACAAAAGAAAAAAATCTTTTGAAAAGATAGACAGCAATGACGAAAGATTTCAAGGCACAACATTGTCCTACTTATGTTTATTGCTGCATGCAAAGAAAGATAATATATCATGACTTCTTTATATGATAACTTTGCTATTCATTAAATTTTAAGCATGTGAAACAATAATACGACTTATGCTTATATCTATTTGTACATCTAAAATTTATAAAAAATATCAACACTAAAATTTGAAAATTATCATTTAAGGATGTTAAGTAGATCCATGTTGGATTGAAAACCTTAGAGAAAATATTCTATCTAATTTCTAATTAAGTTAATAAGCAAGTGAATAAGTAACAAAATACCGTTGGGTTATTTATACCCGTTCCTTGCCTTTATTACTTAGAAATTTTCTCTTAACAGCTTTACTTTCATTATTGAAAAAATAATTGTAAAAATAGATATTGAAAGAACAAATTATTTTTCACCGTAATTTTATGAAAACTTCTATTTAATTTATCGTGTTCTATAGATTTCATTTTATTACAAATTGTAAAACGATCATCGTTAATTCGTAATACTCATTTATAATTTTTTAAATTAACCAAAATTTATTTTCAACTTAGGAATTAGATCAGACTAGATACATGGAATGTGAACGATGTGGATGGCCAATATGCAGTCAAAACTGTCAAAATAATGCCAATCATGTTAATAATGAATGTAAAATGACAGTAGAAAGAGGAAGCAAAGTGAGTTGTTCTTATCATGATGATGATTATAATGATGATGATGATAAGTTTCATATGCAACAATCGACAATAACATGAAATTTATGTTACAATCAAATATTTTTTCTTGCTTTGAACAGGTTTCGATCAAAAATTTTATGACTCCCCATCCCACATATAGTTGCCTGTTGCCGCTTCGCTGCATGATGTTAAAGGAAAGTAATCCAGAAAAATGGGAGCAGCTTCTGGAGCTGCAGTCTAATCATGCCAATAAAACCGGTTCTGATGAAGAAAAGTTTATTGAAGAAGGAGTTGCCAACTTTATTACGAGGTAGTAGATTTTAATAAAGGAAAATTAATATATTTCATCTTGATGCATACAAATTTGTATTTTTATATCTGCAGATTTTTCAAATGCAACAAATGGTCAACAGATGAGATTTCAAAAGTGAATGAAATAGCAAAAATCAACGGGCATGAATTGCCTTTGACGTGCCCACCTTGTGTTGTCATTTACTATCGTGCATCGTTTTTTGAGCATTCGTGTAAACCGAATTTAGCAAAAAGTTTTTCGGATAAAAATGAGATCATTTTTTGGGCACCAAATGCTATAAAAGCACATACCAACTTAACTATCTCATATACAGACGTCCTATGGGAAACTTCTAATCGTCGTCATCACTTAAAGTTAACGAAACAATTTGATTGTGATTGTGAAAGATGTTCAGATGTTACGGAATTCGGCACATATTTCAGTTCACTTAAATGTCAAAAGTGTCCGGAAGGAATGCTAACTCCTGCCAGTTTGGGTGATTGGAACAACGATTGGAGGTTCTCATAAATTAACTTGATTATGTATTTATCAGGATTAACTTTGATATATTTGTTTTTATACTTTAGATGCACAAATTGTTCGAACAAAATGTCGATAGATTCGGTAAATAAGTTCATCAACCATGCGGGACAAGATTTATCAGCCATGGAAAAAGAAAATGAGGATAATTGCATCAAATTTATCGAACACTATTCGAAATGGTTATCACCTAATCATTTCTACATAACAGATGTTAAGATCGCTCTAGCTCAAATTATCGGATCGGGATTTAATGGAATTCAACAAGTTACTATTGAGAGACTTTTACTGAAAGCTAAAATATGTAAAGAATTAATTGATCTGATTGAGAAAATAGTTCCAAATGAAGCGAGGATACTTGGTTTGATTAAATTTGAACTGCATACAGCATACGCTGAAATTGGTCGTCGTGCACTTCAAAACAAAGATGCGAATTGTAAATCAATGTTGGAGGAATCGTTATCATACTGTCAAGAGGCAATAAAGTTATTGAGTAACGAACCAAATTCTTTGCCAGAAGGCGGAATATGTAAACAAGCGAGAATTAATGCATCATCACTCTTGACACTTCTCGGAGGAATGCTTGAAGCGGGATTATGAATTAATAAAAAGACAATCAAAACAGAGAGATATTTCAAAAGCTGACATGAAAAGTTTTAAGGATGTTTCAGATCTCAGATCATGATTAAACTTAAGAATGAAAAATATTTCTAGGTATTAAATTTGAAATTTATCATAATCAATGAAAATTTCAAATTTAATAGAAATATTTTAGAACACAGCGAAATAAATTTTTCTTTTTGATCATATTAAATTATTCATTTTTTTTTGTCAAGTTTCATCAATCGTTGCAATTGTTAACAGCTTTTGGCTTTGAACAAATTGAAGAGATTATTTTTTTCTACAGCTGAAAAGTCTGAACGTTCTTCACAAATATGTTTTATACGAAAGTTAATAATCTGAGAAATTTCGCTTATCCTCAAGCTTTGCTAGCTTGACCTTTTCTTTGAAATGTTTTGATCATCTTATTCGCATCTTTTTTGCTGTCATGACTCATGAGATGATGTAAAGATATTCAAATTGAATTCGGAAAAAATCCAAATGGAAGGTTAGGATAATCAGTTTGAATAATATCTGCAGTAAGTTTTATAAATGTTGACGTACAGGAGTCATATTTTATATTTATGCTTACCTCTGAACTCAATTCTTGCGATAAGATTGTTCTTAGCTTTGGGCAGATGAAATCTGTTAATCCTTACTGTTACAGACATTTTTTATCCTCTTATGTTTTTCACTTTTTTTCATTCATCACTTGAAAAAGCTTCCGCTTTCATGAAAATCCTTGGCATTTTTTTACACCATTATACATTCTTTTAGTACTTTTTCATGTTTGTTTCATTACAGCCTATGCCTTCACAATAAAAACAAACTATGTTGCCATGATTTAATTGTTGAAGTTATTGTGTTGTCTAATTTATTTTCAGTTGCCTTAAAATTGTTTTAGCACTGACAAAGTTTCCAAGTTTTTTTTGTTTCACAAAATATTCATTTTCGGAGCTTTAGTAAGAGAAATGAGAAAAAGTCAGACTCGTATGAATAATTGAGAACATGGTGAGATATACAAGAATAATGAAATTCATAATTCAGAACTTTACAGGTGTATAGCAATGTACTGTAATTTTAACGCATTTAACAAAATTAACAACAAGTTGCTCTAATCACCAGTCACAACATTCACAAATGACAAAAGAAAAAATTAAAGAACTTATGCGAGTGTCAGCCAATTATTTTTTATACTTATTTTTCCTTTCTATTCACAATAAACTTATGTTGACGGCTCGGAAGCTTCCTCGCTACTCAAAAAAAGTTTCGAAACTTTTAGGATAAAAGTCCTTCGTTATGAGAGTGATCGAGAAATGTGAGAAAATTCTCTTGAAGAGAAAGAGAGGAATATCAAGAAAAAAAAGTTTTATGTTGTCGAATTAAAGAACAAATGTGTAGATATAGCTACGCAATCTCATATTGCGATATCTGTCACGATTTTCCCTCCAGTAATAAATTTATTTACAAATGTGTAATTCTTGTATCTCGTCATTTTAACTTGTTGACTGTAAGAAAAATTATTCTTATTTTCGGAGATGTATCGAAACCTACTCGCCATGAATTTTAAATTTAGCAGCGTATTGTTTCTTAACTTTTTCTGTCCCAAAAGATAAGTAAGGAAATGACGTTACAGCAAAAACCCATCCTAAAGATTGATTAAAATTCAATGTATCGCTTTAAAGGATGGAAATGTTTATTCCCAAGCTTATACCTATTTCGTTTATTTAGATATGTAACATTTAATTATTTACTCAAATGTGTTTTTTTTTAAAAAAGTAAAGTAATAAAATTAATCTAGGATCAACATTTTAATAGAAAAATTGGACAGCTAAATTAATATCTAGATTATCTGGATGAAAAAATGCTTTTACTCCACATGAAAAGGTATGAAAATGTAAAAGTTAGAAAAAGAAATAGATAAGGAAAAAATAAGAAAAGCTCTCTTTATAAATATTTTTCTTCGATATCATCTTTCTAAACAGTTTATGATTTATAATATCCTAGGTATCTTAAAAAGTTTATTTCTGTTGTCTTTGTAGAGTTATCTAATTCTTTACCCAGAAAAAATAATAAATTTTTTAAAGCTGAAATAAAAAGGAGGAAGCAGGAAGTAGTAAAAAGTTTTTTTTATCTAATACCTGCATATTTATCAACAAAAGAAGGAAAAAAAACAATTATCCAGTTATTGATGATAGTGAAATTCATTTTTAACCTACCTAGCTTTGAATAGAAAAATATCAGAGAAATATTTTTGAAGACAATTCATGGAGAAAATGAAATTATTTAAATTTCACTGTATCTTTTTCAATGTATCAATATTTCTTTATGTTAATTAAGGTATGTTAATGAGGATTTTCTGGAGGGTTAAACTTGGAAAGAAGGATAAAGAAATAACTTAAATTTATCGTACTGAAATAAAAGATTTTACTTCCCTCAAAATGTTAAGCATTAAATAAATTGGAATTTTTGGTCTTGCAATGTTTTCATCCCGTTTGCCGTATGTTGTAAAGTTTTAAGTCTAATGTGATTTAAAATTTTCTACCTTTTTGAAAACGATTAAAAGGAAAAAAATCCTCTCGACAATTCATTTGATATCAACTTTTGACTTTAATTAAGGTCAAATATTTACACATAACTTTTTAGATAGATACTTCACAAAAAGAAATTAGGTATATTAGAATTTAATCTAATTTTTAAAATGCATTTAGATATTTAATATTTCTACATGACATCGAAATACAAGAATTAAGTTTAAGCATTTATTCCTAGAAAAAATTTAAGAATCACGAATTATTATTAATTAATGCTTTTATTCAGTATTTTTGTTTGATTTCCATTTCTTAATATTTCAATTTCAGCAATACTTTGAATCCAACAAGTAGGTAATGCCTATTGAATGAATTTAATTCAACTTGAAAAAGAAACAGAAGCTGGTTACAGTGAATTGCCGTTGTTTTCACATGTTTTTCTTTTAAAGAATTCAAATAATTAAATTTGGTTTGAAACATTTCATCAAAATTGAAACATCAAATTTATATTCATCAATCCACCTTTAAGTTTTGTTATTTCAATAGAACTGAGAAAAACCTTTGGTACTGAATTTTTTTCACAAAATAATCAGACACGTCTTCACTGTTTGAAAGCTCGTAGAATACTCAGCTACAATAAAGCTTTCTCTTAGGGAAGATGCCTAAGAGAACTTTTGCTGTGAGCGAATATTGAGTATTTCAAAAAGTTTATCTTTTTTATAATAATAATAACAGAGAACTTCTCCAACAGACAAGGCAACAGATGGTAAAGTTAGAGAGTTTCGATAAATAAAAAAATATCGTACATGTGCTTTCAAACTGTGGTGACATAAAATGAATTTAAAAATTTATTTAATTCGTGACAAAATATTTTTATATCTTCTATATTTTCAGAACTACTGCTCTCTAGTAAGCGATGATTGATAAATATAAAATAAAAATATATTTCAAACGTACAGTTTTTAAATATTTTGAAGGAACATAAAAATTGATTTTTTTAATTAAATATATGCTTGATCAAGAGATGATATCGAAAAATAGAATAATATTGAAATTGAAATATTTTTTAATAT